CTCGGTGCCAAGCGTCAGAACAATTATTTTTGTGCACAGAAGTCTCCCAAGGCACTACCCAGGCATCCAGTATCCATTCGTCCATCGCAAGAAGCTCAGAGAGCGGCTGATTTGCACGGTTTGCGCCGAAGCTCTAGTTTCTGAGCAGCTGCCTGTGCCTGTTGAAAATTGCAAAAGGACAGATGATCCCGGAGAAGACGGCTGATCCTCTTAAGGCCGCCATGCTCTCGCGAGGACTGAGCTGCAAATGAGAAAAGTGACGAACGAGTGCAGGTGCCTATCTCCGATCCACTTCAGCCTGGACAGGGACATTGAGAGGTGCTCATCTGCAACGGTTTGGGCCTCAATTGGCCGCTGGTGCGGCGCTTCCCACGACATGACGGGCGACGAGCTCCCATTCCTGAGGCTGAGCATGCAAAGCAGAACCTCTCGCGGCGGCTCCGTGACGCTAGTGGATTTGTTCCCAGTGTGCACTTGACTTCAGTCGTCGGAGCGCCTAGATATCAGTAAAATCTGCAGAGATGCCACTTCTGACATCCTCCTGATCTTTGATTCGTTGGAAAAGCAGCTCCTGCATTGCTTTCCACAGCCATCTCTTTTCCACATTGGCATGGCACTTTCCGTGCTTGCTTGTCTCTCTCCGTCTGTCTGAGTTCCTGTGTTGGCTTGTGCCCCGATATCTTCAGCCTTCAGCTTACAAATCTGATCAACCAGATATTTGTAGTATATATGCATGGGACCTCGAACGAGGAGGCCAAATGTGGAGCATCCTGACAGCAGAGGGTTCAATGACAACTTCACTTTCGCACAGTGAAGCGAAACTTACGAATCGTCCTCACTCCGCTGCCATGGTTGTCCGAAGGCCAGTACAACATGCATTACACCCTTGCGCTAAGCAAAGTCGCGATTGATTTAGCTTGCCCGGACCTGTCTGCTTCTTGACCTCAGTTGCCAGCATGTTCCGATGGAGGCTGAGATACGCCAGAGCTGGGAGCATCTTGTTGATGGGCTCTGTGCGGGACCTGTGCCGCCAGCAGCTGACAGACCTGGGCAACCTTCCAAGCCAGGTCGTTATTGGTGCCTTCAAGCCAGTCTCATTCACAGGCAATGGATGTTGTCAAAGCCTTGAGTGACAGCAGTTTCCAAGATAATGGAAGGTTCAACCCAGGCCGACGTGCCGCAGACTCGGCACTCGCTATAGTTTCAGACACGATGTGCAACTTGTGTGTTAACGCTTGAAGCCGAGGATGCGCTCTCGTCACGGTCGGACGCACATGGTCGCGCAGGCTGCGGAGAAGGCGTGTTACCGACTTTTGTGAAGTTCAAGGTTTGCCGTCAGGTCAGCTCGAGTTTCTTAGGTTCCGGAGTTGCCGCCCTTCAAGCAATTGTTGGAGACCAAGTTGGGTCGTGGGCTGCCAGTCCACAAGTATTGGGCATGTGAGCCGCTCAGTCCTGACGACTACGACCCAGATCCGCTGGACAAGTTTATTGAGTGCAAGCCTCAAGCATCTCAACTCTTCCACATTCTTCCACACGGACGCTTTGGTTGTTGGTTGCAAGTAGATACAGCAGAATTGCAGATCGCAAGCTCGAAGGGTGCCTCGACGGATGGGCGCGTTCGGGCAGAGGGTCGCTGGGGTTTCAGGGAGTGCTTTCGAACTTGACGGCTCTTGTGCTAAAGGAGCCTTACTTGTCTGCCTGACTGATTGCTCTGCAGCCCGATAGCGAGTGTTGGTGGGCGAACACAGTCTCTGGTGAGAGCAGTGTGGAACAGGGGAGACGGATGGAGACGGCTGTGAACGCGTGCCATGATTCTTGCGTGTGAAGGGCTGGCGAAACCCAAGCTGTAGTGGGATGTCTTTGGATAAAGCTTGCATGTTTCCGCCTGGTGTTCCGACATACTTGTACGTCGGAGCGGACGTGCAAAAGCTAGATCGGCTGATGCTGGTGGCCCATGGTGGTCTCAGGGCTGGTTGAATCGAGGCTTCAGCTGATGCTTGTGATAGGCTGCTTGGCTGGCAGGTGACTCATGATGCTGGCCGGCATTGTGCACCATCACTTCGGTGGCTTGCATCTGTTTCCTGGTGCGAGCTGGTTGTCGGCAGCTTGAAAGTACTCATGATGCTCGGGGCACGACGGCGGCTTGAAACATGGCTTACAGCTTATGTCCACACGTGCAGCTGATTACCACGATGTCTGTTGTATGCGTGTCCGGCGGCTTGAATCATAAACGGGAGCTCGTCGGCAGTTCTGTGCGCGGCTGCCTGCAAAAAGCTGGCAGCACGTCAGCAACCAGC